CAGGCTAGAAGACTGACTCAAACAAGATGCGACGGCTCCTGTTGACTGAATACGGCACTCAGCAATCTATTTTCTTTTCTTTCGTTTCTCACCTAGGTTCTAACAATGATCCAAGTTTAGAAGCATTATCCATCACGTCTGATGCGGGTTCTTCTCCTAGTGGCGCGTAATCCCTTCTTTGCTCCGAGCTCATGTAAAGAAGCAGCCTCTTCATGGCGAACTCTTTGCGGGAATCTACAATATACTTGCGGAGAAGAAGGTCCCGCATCACGACGAACGTTCCGCAAAGTGCGAGCGAACAAATAGATTTGAATGTGGTTCGCATACCTATTCTCGTTCATCATTCTGTCTGTTCTGGATCTGATTGGTCCTTATGCTGCGGCTGAACAGCTCCTTCCAACTTTCGCGGTACCAGAGCCGTTGACGGTTTGAACGCCACTTGCGACTCTCGCGTCTCAGGACAATGGTGGGTTTCGAACACTGGCCCTGTCACGGCAGCCAGCATCCATCTTTGGACAACCGCCCCGACACGCGTGTCGAGGCGAACCTCATTGGAACCCGGGCACAAGAAATTAACCTTGCACGTACACGACCCCGACTCAAACTTGACCTCAATCTTGGACATGGAATAACCGAAGAACCAACGAAGCAGATCATTTCACTCAGGCCTTGAACGACTCCCCATGATCCCCTACATCCTCATCGGGAAACCTGCAAACGGGATGAACATCGGACTCGTCGCATACATCGCCAGGACATCAAACACGAACCGCGCGAAACGCTGAATGACCGTGCTCGTAACCAGAACCATCAGGGTGTCATCGTCCTCTCCGTGATAACCACCACTGCTCAGCCTCAAAGATATATTGCGCAGTTCAAGAGGGCTAGTGGCGTATCAAGTTTCAGGTCCTTTCTGACGAGACCTTACGGCTGCAATTTGACTCGATTTACAGCATGGGTGTTTGCAAGAACACTCCCGGAAGCGTGAAATCGTATAAATATGGAGGTTAGAGAGCAGTACTGGCACATTCCATCCATCCCAAGAACATTCAGCCCTCACTTGAACCTACAATGAAGTCTTCTTTCGTCAGTCCACGAACTTCCCAATCTTTACGCCTTTACTGACCGGTTATGTTCAGACTGCTATTATCATCGGAGCCCTCGCAGCCCTCGCATCGTCGGTTGCGGCGGTCGGATGCTTCAGCGGCGGGTAGGGTCGATTTTACTTGAACACCTTTGCCTCCTTCTGATATATCCTTGTCTCCCCAGACAAGCTGGTGACTGCTCCGCCGCCATTGGGCCCATCTGCGCCATGGTCAACGGCGTTTCGGTACGTCTTTTACGCGCAACTAAAACCAGAGTCTGAATGAACTATGTGGCACAGTTCGCCAATGGTCAGACCATTTCCACTTGCGTGGACGCCAGCGGATTCCGTTGCAAGTAGGCCTAACCTTTCCCAGTTTTTTTCGACGGGTTGCTGAAGCCTATTATGCAGCATGGCAGTCACCAACACCGGTGGCGGCGGCTCCCAGATCGGGCAGCAGGAGTGCATCGATGACATGACGGCGACCAACAACGGCTGCGATAGTCATGGTGGTATCCGCGCCGATGGCAACTTCCAACTCACCCTTGACCCCAACACGGGGGCCTGCTAAATAGATTGAAGCAAAGTAGATGAAGATGCATAGATGTCCTCAGGGATTTAGCTCCTTGAATTGAGGAGAATGACTATTTCAATCCATGGGACCGTACGAGGTTACAGCACTGCGCACAACGACCACTTGGTTGCCCATGTCATGCTGTGCTCGTCTCGTTTGTCGTTGTCGGACTTGAGATCCACTACGCCTGTTCGCTTGTACGAGAAGCGCTGGACTTTGCAACGATAGCATGATTCGGCACCTCATTGAGGAAGGCTTCCTTCGCAATTTCACGCCGATGAACGAAAATCCGAGTCGTCGACAGGATATTATCTATCTTTGGAAGCATGGAGTGTACGGCAGCATCATACGATTTATCTACAAGTTGGAGAGGATGATGTGCGCACGCTGAATGTGATATACAATATACTGAGCGTGAACCCATCTAAGGTACTCCTTGTCCTGAAAGGAAGACAGAAGCCTGAAGGACGTGAGATGCCATGCCAACCTTCCAGGTGTTGAAAGGAAGACGTTGAAGACGCCAATTTGGGCTGCCAGAAGTCGGGCCGATCCATCGAGTTCTCGTTAAACGCGACGGAATGCCAGAGTCGTGTGCAAACAACTGCACAACGCGTTTATGAAACCCTAATAGTGTACTATTGCGTATGTGCTTGTGTGCCCAAATAGTATCATTTCTCTCTCAATACAACGCGTAAAATCTGATCTCAACATTCCTCTTCAACCTCTTCCCAACATGCTCGTGCAACCACGTCTTTGCCGCCTCCAAAATCTCCTCATTGATGGTCCTGGCAAACGACAGCACCTCCAGAGCCGAATAACCTGCACCATTCAGCGTCGGCACGATGTTCTCCCAATCAATCATCTCAAGATCAGCCACCTCCTCCATCGAAACATCAAATCGAATCTCCTTGAGACAAGGAGAATTGAGTTTCGCAAGGATAGACGGGACGTGCTTCGCTGATAACCCGCGTCCCAAGTAAGTCGGAAAAATAGGAAGGTCTCCAAATTGAAGAGTCTCCAACTTGGTGAGAGTCGTCAAGTCGGCGACGCGACAGAATGCATCTTAGTAGCGATCAGAGTGCGCACAAAGACCCGGTGACGTCACACACACCTTGCCCATCCGTTGAATCAGATGAATCCGAGAAGGCGATTGCTAGACTGGTAATCGACCGGCCAATGTCATACAGAAAGCGGGAAAGATAATGCGCGTTTTGTTTACTGATGTATCCCAATTCAACCGTGTGGACCATGATTGAGCCTGGTCTCGGACAAAGCCATGTCAGGAACTCGGCTCTGAGCGCAATCCCGTGGTAGAGAGATAGAGACCGCAGAAATCGCAGTGGCGGTGTCCCGACGAATATATCACCGCCCTTAGGAGCGCGATGAAGGTCGCCGTCTTCGATATAATGTAACGCAAGATGTTCCAGATTCGTGCAACGAGAGACAAGCTCCGTCACACGGCTGGCCTGGTCAAAGTGTATAGAGTGCATGCCGAGGCGCTTCAACTGCGGACCCCAAAGGGACACAGCCCTCCATTCCTCTTCGGCCACGTTGGTGAAACGCGCGTAATAGATGGATATATCCTCGACGTGCGGTAGGAGCGCAAGTTGGGGGAGAACACTGCTGACCCAAAATGCCGTCGGAGGGGCTACTTCATGGAGGCTCAGCCGGCGGACGTGTGAGCGGAAGGTACACAGCGGATGCGCGACCAGCGCGCCGAACGTGACACCGATAGTGCGGTTGTGATTGGTGAGAGGTACCGTGTCGAAGGTGTGCACAGGAGCCATGATCGACAGACTAAGGAGCAGCGGAGGAGGGTTTTTACTGGTTTGATAGAATCTATCCGCAAGCTATCGTCCAGGGCGTAGTAATTGGACTTCGCTTCTCCGTCGAGGATATGGACGTGGTCCAAGATGGTATCGAATATCTCTGGCGGAATGTCAGCCATGGTGGTGGTCACTGTTAAGGTGACTGCGATCGATCTTGCACCTTCCAGCTAGTTTCCCACAGTCGGACCCAACAAGTTCCGTCGTTATAGCTTCCAGCGCCCATGTCCCCAATAGCCCCGACTGCTTACGTCCAAAAGCCTTCACCGTTCGTGCGTGATGGACGATGATGTCCTCAGATGAAACCGTATCCGACTAATCGTACGAGAGTTGTCGTGCCTCTGAATATCCGCCTTGGTCTGCGAGCCTTACTAGGGAAACACTATCTGCGCAATGGACGACGTTGGACGCTCCCAGTCCACCGATATCAGTCATTGTCGGGTTTTCTTCTATATATATGGGACCGGAGAAGACTCGGGAACCAATGAATTCGAAGACAGTAACTCCTCCCATTGACGAAGTGAGAGGATGAGACCGCCGGCAAAGGATTCAAGGAAGCATCGGACATACTTCACGATACCCGCTCGCCTTTAGAAAAGGCGCACTGCCGTGTATGGAAAAACTGAAAAGATATTAGTCGGATGAAGAAGGACGGGTGGAAATGAATTACTCTTCAGACAGACACCAGCCGATGCGAACGTTCAAATATGAGGGTTTTGTAAAGGGTCGGTCGAGACTTGGTATCTTAAGAAGCGCTTGAGAGTACACACCGGAGTGTACGTGAATCCGGCGTTCGAGAGAAAGGAAGTTTGTCTGGTGTCAAACCTATACGTGCACCGCTTCACATTAGCACCTCCACGAATGTAACGAAAATGAGTCACACTCGAATTCGCAGTAGTACTCAATCACCGGAACCCTACTAGACCCAATGTTGCTCGCTTCAGCGCCGCGCCACAAGTCTAACTGACGCGCAGTCACTAAACATGGATTGTTAAGCGCCAATGGAAGCATGTTCGTCCTGCGGATACGCACTATGCTGCGAGAAGGAAGGAAGGCTGGTTCACTGGTTGTAGACGCAGAAAGCAGGTCAGGCAAAATACAAAGCAGCAAATTCTTATACAAACATTCAATACACAGGATGGTGCTGTAGTAAAAACGTAGACGTATCTGTTGCTCCTTCAAGGCCGGTACAAAAGAAACACCGTTCTGGTTGCATAGCCCACCGCGAGAGTCGAACTCGCAGCCTTCAGATTGTCCGCCGTGGGTAAGAGTCTGACGCTCTATCCGATTGAGCTAGGCGGGCGATATCGTTGTGTGGCGGCAAGAAATTCCGATCGGCGAGCGGAAATGTACAGGCACATGTCGTCTGCCACGGACTTTGAGAACGCTTGATAACACATCTCTTACCAACAAGGAGTGGAAAATCGTTTGATCTTGCCCGGGAAGAAAATGCGAGGGCGTGCAGGTTTCCTCGATGGAGGTTTCGTAGTCCCACCAGTGCACGTAGAGGATGTGGCGGAGTTGACCTGACAGTTGCGTCGCGACTAACCCAAAAATACGTCTGCGAAGCAGGAATATCAACATCGGGATGGCATTGAAAACATCAAGAGACTTACAAACATAACAAGAACACACTCCCGCGTAAGATCATCCTTACATGGCTACATTGTCGTTGTTAATGATATCGAAGATGCCGAGTGAGACAAGTCGACAGAACTGTCGACGCTGATGGTAAGACGTTTGAATCAGTATAGAGTAAGGTATCTAAATACCTGGAGGTCGTTCGTCTCCGGCTATATGTAATGTAGATACCGGATGTGTACTAGCTGTACCGTAACAAGAACTGCACGGACAAAGACAAGGAGGCGAACGAATCCAGGAGCACGTTGCTTCAAGCGCGTTTGTGATTGGTAAACGGCCTTGAACGTCTAAAGCCTGAGCGGTAGTGGTGGGTCGTGGATGTCGGCGGGGGTGCCAATGTCCAGCCTCTGTAGCGCAGTTTTCCCCTGTTCTATCCACTCTTCAAGTATTCCATCATCCAGAAACCACATCGCGCGCGCAGGGAACTCCCTCACGGCAGCTTCCCTCCTGAGGATGTCAGATATGGGTCTGTTTAGGAAGAGGCCGCCGTCTGCGACCCACGTCGCGAGATGCGTTTCGTCCTTTGCTTTTTCGAGGATGCCAATGATGGCAAGCAACACTTGATCGGGAGCGTCCAGCGAAAGGGATTCTACGCGTGGATCATCGTCGGCAGGAAGCGCCGCCTTGCGTCGAGGTGGGGCAGGCGAAGGATTTTCCGGTAAACATATGTGGTTGGACGGCTGGAAATGGGCTTTGCTGGGGTTGTCGTCTACCAGCAAAGTGGTGCCGGGATTATGAGCAGGAAAGGCTGCCCAGACTCTCTCCAGGTCTTTTCGCGTAACGGCCCTTCTGGAGGATTCCCTCGAGGGCAAGCCCATGTCGTTGCGTGTCCATACGCCTTTCAGCTGAGAGGCGTGTTGACCAAATGCAGAAGCGACTACCGGCGTGACATTCTGGGGCTGAGAAGAGCTCCAGACCATCACGTCGAGCCATTTCGTGGTTTCGGGGTGGAATAGAAACGAGGTGAATGTGGACAGATACGCGCGCGGGAATACTTTTTTGTTCGTGTAGCGATAGACGAGGGTGCCGTTGAGATCGAGGACGACTAGTTTGCGTGTCAATGACATGGGGTGGTGGTTGGGCCAGGGTAGGCGGGTCGTTTGCCGGAAGCCGAGGTTAGGGTTATTCCCTTCCGTCATCATGTCCATCGACCTGGACTGGTGCAAGCTCGACTCCTCCCTCTCCTCCAAACTCGTATCCATTCTCAACCGCCAGCTATCCTCGACCACCCGTCCTTCCTTCATCGGCCCCGTCGAGGTCACCTCCTTGGAATTCGGCTCGACCTCTCCCGACGTGGAGCTGGTGGATCTAGCAGATATCTATCGTGATTTTATGGAGGATGACGATGATGAGGAGCAGGCAAAGGCCGGCGAGGAGGAGGAGGACTTTGAATGGGTGTCGCGTCGTGGGGCGCACCCGACGAGCTGTACGCGTCCGCGACCCCATTGCACGCTCCCATCCCGGGCCCAGTATGGTCGACTTCCGACCTGGATTCTCAGCATGGCCGCCTTATATCCCCGCTCCCGTCCCGCGCCCTCCAAGTCGAGAAAACACCTCTTTTCCTTCACAGGCGACGACGCTCGCACCAGATCCGCCGAACAACCACCCCAACCTGCAGTTGCACTTTAACATCTCGTGGCACTCTGACCTGCGAATCACCCTCACCACATCCCTACTCATCAATTACCCCTCGCCCATGTTCATGTCCCTCCCCATCAAACTCTCTGTCACCGGTCTCATTTTCACAGGCCAAGTCGCCGTAGCGTACGAGGGCGAGCGCCGGCGGGTGCATCTGTGTATTCTCGATGAGATGGATCCCTACGGACCCCATCCGCATCCGAAACGCGATTCCACCCCTCCAGACCTCGATGACCCGCGCCCAGCGAAACCACCGCCCGTGGGCCAGCGCCTGCTTCCGTCGATTTTTATTGAGAGTGAGATTGGACAGGCCGATAAACATGTGTTGAAGAATGTGACGCGGGTGGAGCGGTTTATTCAGGATGTGATTAGGAAGACGGTCGAGGAGGAGCTGGTGTTTCCGAATTTTCATACGCTGATTATGGCGGACCCGTGAAGGTGTGGGCGAGGCATGGAGCCCGTTTCAATCACCTCGGACATACTATAGTCCAGTTGACGGCGTTTCGACACTGTGGCGGTCGGTCTTTGTTACCGGAGCGCATCAATAACACAAGGTTTCGTCGGGAGAAGGGTGATGCAATGGATGATGACCTTGAACGCCGCGCAAAGGCGTAGTGTTAGAGTCTAGGTTAGATACACTAGTCTCCGAGGAAGGACGCTACTAATTCCGTGGATTACAGAGTGCTATTGTAATTCATCATTTCGGCTGTTCATTGCACATGTGTGGCGCCAGCCAGTCCTGTTTCAGCCATTCCGAACAAGCATTGCGTCGCCATCTCCAAAGCCTGGGCACCTTGACCGCGAGCCAGAAGGCATCGATGGATGTGACTCGCTCGCGCATTGCAGACGCTGCCGTTGAGGCACCAGGGAGATTGTCAGAATGATACACTGCGAGCAACACTTCACCTCGCTAGGAACATATACCGGAGGTAGCGAAGGCTGAGGCACCGACGAGGAGGACGACCGCAAGATGAGTTGATACTGATAGAGAATGTGGGGGCTCAGCGCGCCTTTTATACCCATAGACGCTCAGCACTCGATTTTGACTCACTGCGCCAGCGCGTCCCAAAGATGCAATATTGTGACGCCACTTGCATTCACGTGGACGCGTCCTTCGCCAATGCAGTGATGACCGCAGAGCAACGTTGACTCCCCGCGCCAGCGTACGCAGGGCTGCGTTCGGGCCCGTCATATATCCCCGCAACGGCTTCTTCCCTTGCTACCTCTCTTCCTCGGCTTCCCGTCCCGCTTTCCTCTTCTTTGCGCCTCCTTCCGTTCAGCTTGCCGAGTGTCTTCGTGGCATTGCTGCACGGAAATTTCAAAAACGCCATTCGGCAAATCCAGCCCCCACATCTCAATCGAGGAAAGGAGTCTCATTGTAAGAGTCGGGACGTATCTGAGAAAAGGGATGACAAGTTGAAGAGGTTTATAGCAGCTCCGCTTTCAGTCAAAGTTGTCGTTCAGAAACAATACGTTGCACCCTTGTTTTTTTCTTACACTCAGAGGGAACCCGGACGAACAAAGGATCCTACAAGCAAAGCCGCAAGAGCACTCATTACGCACCGCCTGCCGTAACCACGACACAGCAGTTATGTGTGGCGTCCATTCACACAACGCGGACCACACGGATTGATGGCAGCCTACATACTTACCTACTGTGGAGAATCAACCCAGTCATACTACTCTCCGGCTCTTCAGCAGGGCGAACGTCGACCTGAGGTATTTATATAGTCAGTTGGAGTCAGAGACCCAAATTACGGTGCGCGCGTCATGTCCTCGAAAGCGCATTTTGACACTCGGTGCCTGTGATGATCAATTGGTTTACCGGTCACAAACGCGCCATTTCTATCTTCAGCAACGAGCTCCTGGATTACCAAAGATTATCATGGCAAGTCGAAGACCAATGATCCCGCAGCCCCAGCGCGGTTTGGAGAGCATTTGTTGGGATTATGGTAAGTCGAATTAGAGTTAATGGAGTGCGTTGACGTATATTACAGGCGCCTATCATTGCTCTTTATGCCGTCGGAGTGTTCCCACACATATATATATATACATCCTACTTGTACAGATCGCGTGTAGCATTTAATTGTGCATATGCATCTCGAGCCTTTACTTGAGAATAGAAACGTGTAACGGCATCTGCGCACCCTCTTTGGGTCGGTCTTCAAGCAGGGGAAACAGAACTTGTGAGCCAGGCCCATGAATGACGGAGGGAGTGTCTTTCGGAACGGAGAATTCGAAGGCGCTCAGAAGCGCGACCGTAAGTGCCTGAAGTTCCATGATTCTACGACCAACTGAGGCCTAGGCTGCTTCGGGCAATGGAGCACTTACGCGAAACGCCATCTAGAGGGTGATTTAATAAGCGTGTCTTTACGAGTGAAAGTACGCACCCGATGCAGGACCTGACGCCGGCACCTGAAGTCGCGTCATGCCATCAGTAGGCGCAGCCATGGTAAGAAGAAGAGATGACGAACTGAAACTCATTCTGTGGCGCGACACAACATATGAGAATCAGCACTGAGAGAAAATAATGACACAGCGCGTACAGATTCGCATACGTGCCCAAGCTCGTCTCTCCATGGTTCTCCTCGAGGAATCGCTTCGGGTTCCATTCATGAACATCCTTGCCCCATATGATCGGATTTCTGTTCACGCGTCACTGGCATACACGTCCGATGGTACTTCAGAGCGGACATGGATACCTGTTGTACATGTATATCGAAATATGAATGGCTTGCCCTTTCGCGATAGGGATCTCCTTCAGGATTTTTCCATCGCGGGTCGTGACGGGCTCTAGGAGGGGAAGAACATCGTTATGCTCTGCCACGCGAACTAGCGTGTGCGCGAAGGGATGTAGGCGAAGGGCCTCCTACTCCGTGAGTTTGAGTACAAGGTGATAGACCATCGAGTGGGAAGCCTTGCCTTGAGTGACGCGTTAAGCCAAGGCATCGCGTCGTAATCACTAGAAGTCAAGATGCCAGTGTCAGGCCGGACTTGTGATATCTCTTGTCTGATTTTCTCCTG